ATAGTATCAGAAAAAAGTAAAAATGTGGTTTTTCGTTAAAAGTAAACAGTAAGAGAATGTTTTGTTAAAACACCATTTTAAATATCGATTTCAACGAAACTATTGACGGATCAATTTATGGATTTCTTTTTATAAAATGGTATAAATATTACGTACTATGTCTACTATACGAGTGTGATATTTATACACAAAAAAACAAGAGAGGAAATAGGTAGTCAAATTAAAAAAAATAAAAAATCTATGGGCCCCACATAATATATAAAACTCTATCGTATCAAACTCAAATCGACAATTCACAATAGTATAATACTTAAATTTACGGTGCCTGAATATTTCATATAGGTATTCCACTCATTTTAACTACACTTAAATTATTGTGAAAATGCTTTTTAGAGTAGTATTATCGTTTGTTATTAAAATAAAAAGAAAAAGGTTGTTGATGCATAAAACTGGAGGGGTCTTGGAACAACGTAAATCCGACCGTGAATATGTAAATACAAGATGTATCGTGGTTAACCACAATGTTTGAGCTACGTCCATACTGATTATTGTATTTTTGTGTAAGAGCTTGAGTGTGAGGGTGAGAGCTTAGAGCTTAGGGGATGCGAGAGGGCTTCTGAGGGTGAGAGAACTCTTCCCATGACCTAAGAAAATAACCTCCCCCAATTGTGAGGGTGAAGAGTCATTTTATAGAATAAGGGCTCATCACTTATTACATATTTGCCCATTCTTTTATTACATAATTACATTTAAGTCCTCCGAGTATTTGTACGAGATCTAAATATGAAGACCCTAAGTATGGTATAAACAAAGGTAAATTACATTTTACCTCTCAGGTTTAGGGTCGATTGCAATCTCATACAACATCTTCAAAACATTTCAATTTCATACATTTACTTATCATTTTAGTTCAATTTCATACATCTGTTAGAAAATCCGTTAAGTAATGATGTGGCAAATATGAGATCTATTTAAGGAAAACTAATGAAAAGAGCTTGAAAACTTTAAGTTTTAATGATAAGGACAAAATAAAAGGTAAAGTGAATAGTACCAGGATTGACTTTTTAGTGTAAAAATGTGGTTTTTCGTTAAAGTGAACAGTACCGGGTGTTTTTCGTTAAAGTTCCCATCTATTTATGCTGACGTGGTTAAAAAAATTATTTTTTATGCATTTAAAAGATAATAATTTACGTTATTAAAAAAAATAAAAATCCTAAAACCCATCTTCCTTGACCTACCTTCTCCCTCTTCTCCCCTCTCTTCTCTTTGAAACCCACTACTCTCTCTTCACCTCCTCGACCCACCTTCTCCCTCACCTTCACTCTCTTCACCTCCACCTTCTCCCTAAAACCCAGCTCATTGAACGACTCGGCCCATGGAAACTTCGCTGGGGCTCAGACTCTAACCATATCCGAAGATCCGTGGATTGCGACATTGTGACTCTGGCGATGAACACAGTCGCTAATCCTACCGTGCACACTGTTTGACGCTCAAGCTTTGCCACGCTCTGGCGTGTTGCTGAGACGAGTCAGGCCCAATGCCAGATCTTTGACCAAGACCTCGACATTGCTCCGCTTTCCGGAGCCAGAAGAAGCACAACGCTCAAAATCGGAGAAAGATTTGCAAGCTCGGCATAGGTTCTCCGGTGATGGAAGTTCTTCATCCTTCCTATCGCCAAGAAGGTGAAGAACGAAGGTGAGAAATGAGAGATTGTTGCAAGCCATAGCGACTTGCTCTGTTCGAAAACCGTCGAGTTTGAGTAAGAATCGAAGAACACGGGGAGAAATCGGACCTCACAATGATGGATGTGGTTCGGCGGAACCAGCTGGACGGCGGCGACGGGCTTGGGCTGGGGCTTATAGGCCTGGGAGTGGTGGCGAGAGGTGAGGTAGAGGGAGACGAGGAAGAGGGTGATTGCCCAGATTCCCTTTACCAATTTTTGTTTTGTTTTTAATTATAATATAAATTGATTTTTTATTAAATAAATCATTTTTAATTATTTTTTATTCACGTGGTGCAAAGTTGACAGCCATGTCAGCACAAATATGGATTCTACATTTACCACGTCATCACTTAACGGTTAACTTAACAGATTTTTAGTTGGATGTATGAAACTAAAAAGAAAATATAACTGAATGTATAAAATTGAATTGTTTTAAAGATATTGTATGAGGTTATAATTGACCCCATACTTAAGGGGATAAAATGTAATTTAACCAAAAGAAAATTGTTACTTAATACTACAGTCTAGTGGTACTCCTTTTCGCTTATAAGTAAAATGTTTTTTAGGTTCGATTATCATCAAAACGAATTTAAATCACATTATTGTTAGTTCACCTGCGAGAGGCTAAACTTACTCCTCTTATTCTTAGGGTAGATAATATATTTTGTTAAACAAATATAACAAAAAGAAAAACAAAATAAAATAAAGAAAGAGAAAATAAGAACTAGAAAAAGAGAAGGAAGCGTCCCGCCGCTAAGAAAGTAAAAAGCAGAGCTCTATTTGTGAAGGCTGAGCCGCCGCACCGGCACCGCTTCTCTTGTGCTTCTTCTTCAATTCAATCAGCCCCGACAGTTGAGAATGGGAGAAAATAGTGAGTGGGTAACCCCAGGGGAAGTTCTCGGTAAAGCCTCCAAGTTCAAAGCAGGCAGAGGTGCCTACGTGTCCCCCGACAAGCTCACCGTCTACGCTTCCCTCACTGGGTCCCGCCGTATCCTATCCCCCCCTTCCGACTCGCCCGACCAGGTTTCTATTAGCTTTCGTTCTGTTTGGCTGCTGAGAAAGTTTGAGAATTTTTTTTTCTGGGAAAATTAGTTTATTATGAAGTTTGAATTTTTGGTGTATTCTGGCCTGAAAATATGAAATTTTTACTATTGGGTGCTCACCATTGACAGAAAATTGAGATTCAGGGATGGAAAATTCAAAATTTGGTTATAAATGCACCGTTTTAGAGTTGTCATTTGGGATTGCTTTTGTAGGAAGTACTTTTATTGCTGTTGTAGGAAGTACTTTTGCTCGTAAGCGTTTATGCTAGAAGTGCTTTCATTAAGCCCTTCTATTAGAAGTGGTTATAAGCATTTATGCTAGAAGTGATAGAAGTACTTTTAATCAGAAACACACTAGAGGTGCTTTCATTAGGAGTGCTCATAAGCGTTTATGCTAGAAGTGCTCATAAGCGGTTTTATGCTAGAAGTGATTTTGGTTGTTAGAAAACACTTTTAGTCCTTCAAGAAGCAATCCCGAACATGCCCTAAATTTTGAATCTTTGAAGTGCTCATAAGCATTGAATCTTTAATGTCCTTTGGGTTTGAGGAAGTACTTTTGCTCATAAGCGTTTATTCTAGAAGTGCTTTCATGCACGGTGAGATTTTTATTAAAATCCAAGTGCTTTTTAGGAAGCACTTCTGGATGGTTGGTTGCAAATACTTTTAGCCCTTCATGAAGCAATCAGGAACATGCCCTAAATTATGAATCTTTGACGTGCTTTACCAAATTAAGGAGAAAAGTTTGGAACTTTTCAATTCCCATTTCCTTTGTATATTGTTTTGTTGTTTAACTTTGTATTGATTTTTTGAATTTTTATGATATGGTGGTCTTCAAATTTCCGTTGATGATATCAATTGATTGTTGTGGTTTTGTAGAGACCCACTGTGGAAGTAACTGGTCACAAGGCCCATGGTGCCATTCCAGAGCCTGGATCAGTTGTCATTGCTAGAGTAAGGGCTCATCAACAAGATTATTGCATAACATAGTCACTTTCTTTAATTATGAGGCAGATTGTTGACTGATTCGTGTATGTAAATCTCGCCCCATTTTATTATGGCAGGTTACCAAAGTGATGGAAAGGATGGCTTCTGCTGATATTTTGTGTCTTGGCACGAAATCTGTGCGAGAAAAGTTTAGTGGCATAATTAGGTATGTGGTATCCCTTTTGAATAATGACTACATAGGCGTTGCATTTATCTCGTGCATATTTGGATTGCAGTTTGTCTAGTGAAGTTTTTTGTTGTTCTGTTTTGTTTTCAAAATGTTATTTTGTTTATAAGCTATTTCTATTAACAGGCTTCAAGATGTAAGAGCCACCGAAATTGATAAAGTGGATATGCTTTCGTCTTTTCGCCCGGGTGACATTGTCAGAGCTCATGTTGTATCCTTTGTGTGGAATGCCCCTGTTAATATCAGGTTAAAAAGATTGTCATGCAGAAAAGATTGGCATTTCGTAGATATTCTAATTAATTTTCAACATTTACCCCTTGACCGGTTAGGTGTTGGCAGATGACGGCTTCAATGATACATTTAATACTACGTCAATTGTGCTTAACATTCGTATTGCAGCGATTAATTACAGAAATAGTTTCCTACTTTCCTTGATTCTTTCATTAAGCTGTCCCTTGGAGATGCTAGGGCTTATTATCTGTCAACTGCAAAGAATGAATTGGGTGTTATTTCGGCACAGAGTGCTGCATCAGGTACATGAATTTTCTGCTGGTATTTATTGAATTTCGGCGAGTGCTATAACATTTTGACAAAATGCAAGCGTATTATGACACATTTACAGCGTCTTATCCTCATCTAATATGTGCATCGGCGTATCACTAGTAACCCTATCATATCCGCATGATGTGAACTCAGATGTGATTTTCTATTTGTTCATTGTAGGTGAAACAATGGTACCAATAAGCTGGACAGAGATGCAGTGCCCCAGGACAGGGCAAATCGAGCAAAGAAAGGTCGCTAAGGTCGGAGGATGAAAAGATGAATTCGGAATTAATAGTTCTTCTTTCTTCTCCTTTTTCCAAAGAGAGTCTGTAACCTTACAGTTTCTTATAGGTTAAAGTCAGAAGTAATGGTAGCCCTCATGCACCTCTATGTCGAGGGTTTTCCGAACCGGCGTCTCTGGTTTATGGGTTCGCTTACGTTTTATTATTTTGAAAAATCGTGCAAGAGACTGCGGTTTCTTCTCAAGTTGAGTTGTAGTTGTATGTGCTGCATATATTCATCCTACTCCATTATCATCATTCATTTATTTGAGTTAATAGCTCATGAACACAATTAAAATGTTTCTTATGAAAGACTAAGAACCCTCGACATCCGTGATACAACACGGAAGTCGTGGAATTCGGCATTGCATTTGCCTTATACCATGGAGATCGTTTCCTCTTCACTGTCCGTGCCACCATGCGGATCCTCCATCGGCATCTGTTGGGGACAGAAGAAAGGTTTCGGAGGCATCTGTAGGGCTTCGACTTCCCCTTCAAGCATCTCTACGACTTTGCTCATGGAAGGGCGATCCGCCGGCTTCAATTGTATGCACCACAACGCAACCATGATCATCTTCTTGGCTATTTTCTTATCGTTCTCACAGGCATCCACAATTTCAACACTCAATCCTTTGTCCAGTTGATCATAAATCCAGGAAGGGAAGTATATTTGGCTTGAATTTTGTGCATGTGCATTCAAGTTCTTCCTCCGACCGGTCATTTCCATTAGCAGCATTCCGAAGCTATAAACATCAGCTTTGTACGAAACGCTTCCGAGGATTCTGTAGAACATTTCTGGAGCTATGTATCCCATCGTGCCTCTTGGAGCAGTAAGAGAAAGAGTGTTATGATCTCTAGGGTAAAATCTCGCAAGACCAAAGTCGGAAATTTTAGCAGTGTAGTTTCCGTCAAGAAGAATGTTGTGAGGTTTGATGTCGAAGTGCAGGATTTGCATATCACATCCCTGGTGCAGATATTCGATCGCACGAGCCACCCCAAGAGCTATCTCATGCATTCTATCCCAACCAAGAACAACGCCTGTTTCCTTCTCCGAAAATATATGTTTTTCGAGGGAACCATTAGGCATGAAGTCGTAAACAAGAGCTCTTTTGGATCTCTCAGAACAAAATCCAATTAGTTGCACCACATTGACATGATGAATTCTTCCAATTGTGGCAACTTCACTGATGAAATCTAGCCCTTCACCTTTGGAGCCACTCAACATCTTGACTGCAACAAGATGACCACCCGAAAGCTCTCCTTTGAAGACGGAACCAAAGCCCCCCTGACCGAGTTTATCTTTGAAATCGATTGTAATCTTCTTAATATCTGAATACGAATACCTTCTCGGCATAAGATTCTTGTATGCATCCAAGAATTCTTCAACTGCATCATCCTTTCGGAATTTTTTCGAATACACTCCTTGACTCCGTTGTTTCAAAGAAACTACAATCATCTTGACGTCTGAATAAAAGTACTTTCTTCTCTTAACATTCTTGCATGCATCCAATAACTTTTGAACTGCATCGTTCAGGAACTTTTTCCAGAAGCCCTTTTGTCTGACTTTATTTTTTAACTCAATCGTCATTTTCTTAATATCCGAATACGAGTACCTTGTTATTCGATTCTTGCAAGCAAGCAAGTATTCTTCAACTGCTTCATGCTTGGGGAACTTTTTCCAGTACAGTTTGTAGCAACAGAAACCCAACAAAACAACAACGCCGAGTATCATCCGCGCCATCAGAAAACATCCTGCCATAAGAATACAGGAGGGTATTAGAAGTTCATCCTGTAATTGGAACTTCAGTTTTCAAAATCCACCGCTCAATACTAGTTCCGAAGACACTTTAATTTCATTTATAATAGTAGCAAGTGCCTAAAAATGGATACTTGTTCCTTTTCTATCCGTATATTCTTTTGAATTTAATTTCAGCTATTTGAACAACGTAAACATTCTTGAAAAAGACTTACCGATGATCTTGGCGGCTTCTATGAGATCTGTGCGAAAACAGAACGAAGGGAAAGGATTACACTAAGCAATTTTAAGAGCAATCTTATAACATTAGCTAGTAGAAAATGTGGTGTTAGTCAAAACTTACCCTTCTTCATGCTTTCACCGAAACCTGCAGAAGTTAACTAGTCTCAGTAAGAGATGTTGGAGAAAAAAATCTTCATATTCATATAAAATTAACTTGAATTAGTAACTGTTCGCCAAACTGATGCAACCATACTCACAGTAGAGGGATTGGTATCGGGTGTCGCAGTAGTTGTGGGGGAGAATTCCACCCCACGAAAGCTCCATACCATTTATTAAAAGATCACGGATGAAAGAAACTGAAAGGCCACTTCCATCTTCTGGGATAATATCAGAAGCCATAACGACTCCGGTCAGAGTACAAGAGGGTTGAAGATTGTTCACCCCATCTTTCACCAAAATATAAGAATGTGATGTTGTGGCAGATGATGAGTTAGTATTACTGCAGTTCAGTTCTACATAATCCGGAGACTCAACTGGTAACAAGCAATCGAAGAAGGATAGATAACGGTAATCAACGTAATAATAGCTATATGGAATTTGGCTAAAGTTCTCGCTTGTTAGCCAGTTGAGAGGCCTGAAAGGGCAAGAATCGTTTAGCAAACCAGGATCCACAACATGGATTGTATGATGCTCATAGTTGATTGGCGCTTTGACATAATATGTAGCATTGAAGAGATTTAAGGTGGTGCGGTTATGGTCGCACGATAGCTCAGCTGGATAGCCGGGGCAATTAACTTCAGAACCGGTTCTCAGGCGAAAAGGGTATTGAATGTCTAGAAGATCTCCACATGAAGCATGCCTCCGACAGTTTCCTTCTTCCTTAGCATCATGGCACACTACAAAGCTGATAGCTATAACACATGCTAGTAACCGGATTCTTCTCAGCATTGTAGGAAGCGATAAGATGAACGGAATTGAGGAGGAAGAAAAAGAGGGAAAACTCATCTCCTTACAAGTTTCCGGCTGTATTCTGCATATTACACATGGAAATTTGGTCAAGGAAGAAACCGAGTCGCTTGCACAATTCGAAAGAAGACAATTAAAAATTGGTAAGAAAGAATAGGTAATGTTTGGTACTCTACTTGAATACAACGTTTTAAACTAAAAAACAATTTTCAAGTTTTAGGCTTTAAAAAGCTTATTTGGTAGGACTATTTTCGAAAACCGAATTCAAGACTAACTCAAAAATATAGTCTATTATCTAAAAACATAAAAAATGAGTTTTTAGAGTTTTTAAACTTAAACTTACTAATTCTTTTTTCTTCCTCCTCCATTCCCACTCCAAATCTATCTCTCTTTTCTTCTTTCTCTCTCCTCCTTTTTTTTTAATAACTTTTTTTCATCTCTTCTCCAATTCGCGCTATCTTTATTCTCTCGGTTTTTTTTCTCACTCCTCTTCCCCTCTATCTCGTCCGATCTTCTCTCTTTTTTCTTTTTCCTTCAATCATCTCTTACTTCCTTTCCTTCTTTCTCATCTTTCTCCCTCTCCTGCGACCCCCTCTTTTTAGATTTTTTATTTAGTTTAAGTCGTAAAATTTAAAAATTTTAAATCTCAAACCAATCAAGTTTTTGAGTCTTACAGAAAATTGCTTTTCGAAAATGTTCTTAAGAAATGTTTTGAAAAATGATAAAAATTTTCAAATAGAATACCAAACATACCCTTGCGCTTGCTAGAAAAGTTAAATTTGACACTTAAAAATTTGGTCAAGGGAGAAACTAGTCGCTTACACTTGCCAGGAAGGTTAAATTAGAAAGATGACAATTAAGAATACAGTAATGCTAGCGGAAACCTTTCGTGCTACCTTCTCGGCTATACTTTGTTACAATGTCATGTGATAGACCCAAATCATCTATTTTCTAGAGCATCTTTTAAAAATTAACTCTGCCAATAATTAATAGATTTGGAATCATTTACTCATTTAATGGTTATTTAATAAATAGATGAACCGTGTAATTCACATTGAAATTTCTAACAACATTAATCAAAAATTCAAAACCAACAATTTTTTATTTGGCTGTTTTTTGCAAAGTTAAATGGTGAACTAGAAAAAAGACGATTTCAATTATCATACGACATTGCAAGATAAAAAGAAGTAGGCGTGGTTTGGTATGTGATCCCAAATCGAAAATGGGATCCCGAATCCCAAGTCGAAAATTTTCGGAACGAGAACTTGAAGACCAATCACAAACCGAAATTTCGGTATTTCGAGATTAATTGGGATTGGACTTTTGGGTTGAAATTTGAAATTTTGGACTATTGACTAAAAATTTTGGGCTTTTCGCCTAAAATTGTTCCATCATTTCATATCAATTGAAATTTAAGTTTTTTACCTTATACTATTTTGAAATTTCATACCAATTCATTCCTACCAAGTCAAATTGATGTGCCAAAGTTCCAAACTAATTAATTTCATACTTCTATTTCTAATATATTCTACTATCAAACTACTTAAATTTAACATTCAAGATGCATGCAACCAAAATAAATAAATAAATATATATATATTTGGTTTGGTTTAGGATTCCCGAATCATTGCATATGTAATCTCGATTCCTATACCGAAAAGTTCGAGATCGGTTTGGTATGGATCTAAAAATTTTCGGTATTATCGGTGTTAGAATTTTTAGGAATGAGATCGGAATTTTTTTTGTTTGATTTGGGATTTTTGGGAAAAATTTCCATCCCTAAAAAGAAGAGATGGATGGTGGATTGACAAAGTCCGAAAGGCCGGTAGCATCCCCATTAAGGGCTGGTTTGGTATTGCTGTGCTTTGAAAAAAAAACTGTTGTGAGAATAAGCGACTGTGAAATAAATCAGCAGAGTGTTTGGTAAACTTTTTTGTAAAAGTGTTTTTGGAAAAAAAAAGCAGTCTAATAGTGAGTTTTTTCATTAAAGAAGCACGGTAGCTTCATGTGCTTTGAAAAAAAGCCAGTTTTCCAAAGCTGCAAATAGCAGCTTCAGCTTTTTCCTTTGATTTCAGCTTATTCTCACAGCAGCTTCCAAAATAAGCCTTTTTTTTTCAGTTTACCAAACACCTAAAACCCTCACAGCTTTTTTTTTCATGGGTGTTTTTTTTAAGCACCTCACTCCCAAACTAAGTCTAAATGAGAAGGAAATTTCAACACTGAATAAATTGATCCATGTAAATATACAAGAAAACTTACACTAAAGGCAAAACTTTCAAAATAACAGTTCTTGCACCGGTCTGCCTAAAGAGTAAAGATGGTGGATAGCCTGCTCCTTCTACCTGCGTTTTCCTTGCTAGTAATCGTCTTCTCCATGGCGATTAACGTCGTTCCAAGCGAAGCAGCAGCTTATGATCGTGTCGCTGACTGCCCGGTTTCAAACTGTAGCGACGCCGGCCCCCTCATCAAGTTTCCCTTCCGTCTCAAAGACCACCCCCTTCAATGTGGCCATCCAGAGTTTGAGGTTTCTTGCTTAAAAAACAAGACAATGATTCAGCTCTCCTCATCATCAGGACTGTTTCCCATCCAAAGTGTCAATTACCGCAGGCGAACTTTCAGCGTCTACGATGATGAAGAGGGTTGCTTTCCGAGACGCCTTCTTAATTTTACAATCTCCACCACCTCGCTCTTCGAACCAATACCTTCTCAGGAACCAATACCTTCTAGCGATCCCAGGATGGTCAATTCCGGGATGTACAGCTACCGTTTCAACTGTGCCGAATATAAAATTCATCCTAGCGATCTTCCTTACCCAGATGGGTACCCATATGACCCTTACCCATATGGGTACCCATATGACCCTTACCCATATGGCATGTATTATCCCCAGTTGGAGAAATTTACGCTCTTGAATTGTTCCACGACACAAACCTTGAACACGGGGAGCTCCTACATACCAATCACATGTCTTAGTGTCGGACATCATCAAGTTCTGGCTGTTTCGCCATCAGCTTCTGTCACGAAGCTGCCGTTCAGAACTTGCAGTACCTTGAAACAACTAGAGCTTCCGCTACGAAGAGTGGATGATGGCTATAGTACTGGGAATGACTGTGAGCCGGACAATGTTTTACTGCTGAAATGGAAATTAAATAGTTATTTCCCGCAATGTCAAAACTGTACAGAAGGAACAGGATCGTGTGAATTCAATGACACCAGCAACCGGATGGAGTGTCATCCTTACCCTATCGTTCGAGATCCCCCACAAGCGCTACCATTCCCAAAAGCGCCAAAACCAAAAGGTTATGCTAGTACTCTACCTGCTGCCAGCCAAGGCGAATTCTTAAAATTCCATTCCTGACCAGCTCAATTTGTTTAACTCTTGTAATTTCAGGTTGTCTATCAACTCGGAGGTCGATTATTGTGGGAGCAAGCTTAGCTTCTTTTGTTCTAATATCGGCAATGGCAGCAGTAGCAGTTTTCTTCTATGTAAAACAATCAAAGAGAAAACTGGAAAAGGAGAATCAACTGAAGGTTGAAAGGTTCCTAAAGGATCACAAATCTCACGTACCAACAAGATACTCCTATGCCAATATTAAAAAGATGACAAATGGATTCAAGAAGAAGTTAGGTGAAGGAAGTTTTGGAAGTGTTTACAGCGGAGAGCTTCCAACTAATGGAGTTCCAGTCGCCGTAAAAGTCCTCAGTGATTCGAAAGGAAACGGAGAAGATTTTGTTAATGAAGTGGGAACCATTGGCAGAATTCACCATGTCAATGTGGTTCGCCTACTTGGGTTTTCTGCTGAAGGAGGCAAGCGTGCGCTTATTTACGGGCTCATGCCAAACGGGTCCCTAGAGAACTTCATCACATATAAAGATCGATCCAACAACACTTCGTTTGATTGGCAGAAACTTCACAACATTGTCAATGGTACAGCGAAGGGAATCGAGTATCTTCACCAAGGGTGCGACCGCATGATCCTCCACTTTGATATCAAACCTCATAACATACTGTTAGACCATGATTTCAATCCTAAGATCTCGGATTTTGGTCTTGCTAAACTCTGTTCCAAGGAAGACAGTATCATATCTATGACAGCTGCTAGAGGCACCGTGGGCTACATTGCACCTGAAGTGTTCAATGGGAACTTCGGGAGCGTGTCCCACAAGTCAGATGTGTACAGTTTCGGTATGCTAGTGCTTGAAATTGTTGGATCCAGAAAACAACCTGCTCTTACATCTGGAACCAGTGAGGTCTACTTTCCGGAATTGGTTTACAATCGTCTAGTTCAAGGAGAAGCGTTGGATTTGAAGCTAGATACTGATGAAGATGCTCAGATTGCTAAGAAACTAGTGACTGTGGCATTTTGGTGCATCCAGTGGTACCCGGTGAATCGCCCTTCCATGAAAGCGGTTGTTAGAATGCTAGAAGGAGGCCTTGAAAACTTGATGATGCCACCAAATCCATTTGCTTCCACGAGTACTCAGACAGATCAACCAAGAACAACACTGTCAAGTTAACTTGTCACACTAATCAGTAGTGTCTTGCATATTTGTAAACGTAGCGCGAAAATTAGTATTGTAAGGGCTTTTCAATTAAGTTTTACTAGCCAGTAGTTAATAAATAAGCACTTGTATCATGTTTTTGGTTAGAATGATTATTAGAACATGAGAAGCCAACCCAAATCATTTCAAATGTTCCACGACGTTTTAATATCTCAATTCGAGACCCCCCCACTTCTCAAACAAACGTGTGGCAACACATGAACAACACATATAGGAGAACGCAAAAGCGCATGTGACCAACACATGAATTACTCGTTTACCATAATACAATGTAGGCATTCAACTCAAAACCAATTTTGGAACAATGGAGGGGCCACAATCATTTAAATTAACTGTGCTGAACCCATGTGGTTTCTCATAGTGAGAGACAACACGCCTAATGGTTCTTGGATTTTGGCAGGTCAATCCAGAAACTGCACCACAATTTCTGCCAAGTCCAAATGGGAAACTTCAACAATTAATCACACTATGGAGTTCGAATGAAATTACTTACGAGTTTCCTTGGAAGACTTGACCATTGACAATGATACTGATTGGCGCATTTAGATCCAAAGATTATACTGAATGGTTTCAGCCTTTACATTTGAATGTTCTTGACTCTCCTTTCATTTTTTACTGTTGCCAGATGACCGAATTGTGTATTTTTTTAGGTTAACCATTAACAGAAATCCATCAAATAAATGGTTTTTATTAAACTCCTTAAAATCCTTCAAAATACAAATTGATACACCCCTTTAATCTCCCAATTTGAGATTTACGCTCCCAACAACCCCACTCCTTGCCCCATAACACACCACCCACCCCCTTCCTCTCACGTGCAGCGATATATATGAACTATACATATGGGGTGACGTGGGAGCACATATGGTCATTAGGGTAACAATTGAACATTCTGTCTTGTGTGTAGGCAGGCATCTAACCTAGAACCAATTGGAAAGCGGAAGAAGAGGTCAACTCGCCTAATGATCCTAGGATATTATATAGAAATTGTAGCACAATTTCTGCCAAGACCAGATGGGAATGCATAATTTTCATATATATAATATGCACTAACTCACCAATTAATCAAGCTATGGAGTTTGGATGTAAATTACTTGCAAGTTTCCTTGGAAGACTTTGACCATTCAATGACAATGATGATTAATAGGTGCATTTAGACCAAACGACATGGAGAAACAAACCCAATGCGTGCACGAAGGCTAGTATATATATTATGCACTAATTCACCATTACTCAAGCTATGGAGTTTGGATGTAAATTACTTGCAAGTTTCCTTGAAAGACTTTGACCATTCAATGACAATGATGATTGATAGGTGCATTTAGACCAAACGACATAGAGAAATAAACTGATTTGCTTCCAAAATTAGTCAGACAGATAAACCAAGAACAACACTATCAAGTTAACTAGACTCACACTCATTAGTTGTGTCCTGCATATTTGTAAAAGGGTGGTGCTGTCCACACATTCTTTTCTACGTTCCACACACTTCTGTTAATTTTTGTTTCTTGATACTCTTTAATTCATTTGATCCAACGACCGAAAATTGAGAGAGATGTTTAGATAGCATCACCCTTTGAAAAAGTAGCACGAAAATTAGTATTGTAAGTGCTTTTCAATAAAGTTTTAGTAACTAGTAGTTAGTAAATAATCACTTGTATCATGTTTTTGGTTAGAATGATTATTAGAACATCATAATTCAACCCAAAATAAATTAACAATGGATAGAAGACCGAATCCAACCCAACCCCCTTTTCCCTAACTCACGTGTGGCGTCACACATGAACAACACATATCGGGGAATGTGGGAAGGCATGTGGCCAACACATAAATAGCTCGTTTACCATGATACAATGTTCAAAACCAATTTCGGAACAATGGAGGGGCCACAATCATTTGAATTAATTGTGCTGAAACCATGGTTGTTTCAATTTCATAGTGAGAGATGCCTAATTGTCCTGGGATTTTGACAGGTCAATCCAGAAACTGCACCACATTTTCTTCCAAGTCCAAATGGGAGATTTCACCAATTAATCGCACTATGGTGTTCGAATGAAATTACTTACAAGTTTCCTTGGACGCCGGAGTTGGCTGCTGGCACAACGGGGTGGTGCCTTACCGCACCGCAGGCGAACGCGCGGTAGCGTTCGTGGTGGTGCTTCAGGATTCCAATGTATTGCGTCCAAGATCAGAACGAGCTTGCCGGCGGCCAGCAAATAGAATAAATGAGAGCTGCTCCTAGGGTGCTTCTACTTCTTCTAGATTAATGACTTATTTTGACCTTTTCGACAAGTTCGGGGACCAGTAGCAGCTTCGCTTTGCGACTATAATGAATGGCAACAACCTTCTCATTTGACCATTCTTGGATCTCCTTTTCATTTTTTTAATGTTGCCAAATGATCCAAATTGTATATTTTTTAGGTCACCCTTTATGGATCAACTATGTAAAAAATCAACCAAATTCAAAATCGTTTGGTAATTTAACAAGTATCCAATAAATAAACAAACAATGTTATTCAAATGAAACTGAAATTTTGACAACGTTAATTGAATGGTTAAACAATTTCTAATTTGATTGATTTTTTTTCTTTCAGATTTAATGTTTATAAAGTGAATTAGAAAATAAACGATTTCAATCGTCATATAACATTATAAGAAGAAAATAAGAGCCGAGAATGTCGGATTGAGAAAGTCAAGGTATCTATAACAAATTAACCACATAAAAATAAAAACAGAAATTCATCAAATAAACGATTGAAAGTTGAAAAGTATTTTAGAAGCTCTTCTTACCAAACAACTTTTAGATCTCACTCTCTCCAGCAGCTCGCTCTTTCAATCAGGCTATCAGCCCCTCATTACGTGTTTGTTTCACAACAGCCCTTGGGCCCGGGCTTAAGTTTTATTCGGGGAGACATAGGCCATTTATGTATGGACCTTGGGTTGAGTTTTCTAGAGCCCAACTCTAGTTTGGGCTAAGGTCGTTATTTGGAAAGAAACTTACCTACGTCAGGATGCGTTGTCGCGGTATGTTCACCACTTTATTCTTCTTTACCTCCAACCCGAAAAATGAATTGAATAAAATAACCAGTTTGGTTCACTCGTTTCAGTCAATTATTCAATATATCGGTTGATATTACACAACTCGATCTGGTTCAATTCATCAATTCAAATGCTTAACCTTATTGTGGTATTTCAGTCCAATTGCACATTATGATATGTTTTACCGTACTAGTTTATGTGTGATTGAGTTAAGATATTATAGCACTAAAAAAAATATTGACCATAAATAATGTTCATCATAACACTCGAATTAGTGATATTTTTTTAGCAAGTGATACTAAAATCAAATTTCTAGATCTATTTTTAGTAAACCACATAATGTGACGATTAATGGTTAGACAATTATTTTAATCATTAAAATATAAGTTCAATCATCAACTGTCACATTATGTGGTGTAGAATAAATGATGAAAATCATCATGAGGCCATGTCCCCGCCAAAAGAGGGGGAAAAGGAGAAAAACCCAACTTCCAAATAACTGCCAAATTTTCAGTGGCTAAAACTGAGCAGCATGCATGATACACCTCTTCCTCTAAAATGGCTTCTTCTCTTGCCTTCCTTCAACCTCTCTCCAATGTCTCTTCCTCTTCAACCCTCCTCTTTCTCCGTAATCCCCACCATATCCCTTCTTCTTCCTCCTCCTTAAAACCCTCCAATTTCCCCAAAACCCTCCCATTCAAATCCCTCACCGCCTCATTCTCCCTCGCAGAATCAGACTCCCCCAAATCTTTCCAACCCAACGGTCCAAGTTTTCAATCTTTCCTCCAAGAATTAGCCGTAAGCATCCATTTCCCATTTCGAATTCGATCCTTTACGTCAAATTTTGAACCTTTAATTATTGGCGTTGCTTAATTTATATGTAATTTATTAAAGTGCGATTTTTTTTTTCAATTTTTTTTTTAGCTGTGCAGGACAGCTTTGATCTTCCACCGGACTACTTTGCGCAGCTTCCTAACGATCTCCGGCTCGATGTAAGTGGGCTTTTTTCAATCTGTGTGAATTACCCAGTTGTTGAATTCGATATAGAATGTGGCTTTAGAACTTGAGCTGACAATTTTTGAAATTTTGTTTTTGGGTATGTGTGAAGCTGAATGATGCAGCATTTGATCTTTCAAATGGAAGGGTTATCGACGAGGTTGGTTATTTTTAAGCCTCTGCTTCTGCATTCTGATTTGAAATTTGATTACATTCTTAGTTTGATGAGTAGTAGTATGAACATGACTAGTGTTCCGTTTCCGAAATTTCACCCAAGTTTCAACTCTTTTTGGTAAGAATGGTGTATGTATCAATGATTCAAATGTTTAATATAACGAAACGGGATGTGAAAGAATCACACATTATCCATGTCATGCCTCTCATGTATTCGGCCAAACGATTCGAAGTTTATAAGTAAGCTATCAAAATTACTGGCTAATTAAGTTACTGTCTTTGAATTTACTCTTTTTGCAGTGTGGTCAAGAGTTAGGAGAGACATTGTTAAATCTCTCTCGCGCATGGGAGCAAGCCGATACATCAACTTCCCATGCTTTAGCTAGCAAGCTCCCTGGGTTGGAGGACTCTATGACAGGCAATGCCAAATCAGGCAAGAACAGAGTTATATGAAATTGATGCTTAAAATATATTCTCAGTAGTTTGATTCAAGAGCTTATATCTGTTATTATAGCATTTGGAAAGCGTTTGGTTTCTGCCGGAAGAAGATTTCAGTCTATGGGACAGTATGGCCAAGGTGAACTGCAAAAGGTATGTTTTATTACTTGGACATGAGATAGATACTGTGGCGAACTAAATAATCTTTCAAAGGAACAAGAGATGGATAGACAGATAGATAGATAGTTGGAGTAGTTTGTGTTTATTTGTTTGTTTAGACTGGTTTTATTGAGTTTTCGTTACTATTGTTCTCATGCTTCTTTACTCCAAAGGTCAAAATTGTTCCATAAAGTTTGTTAATAGCGTTTGGAACTATTTGCTTCAAATCAAACTCATGAGTATTACTGTGTTGGACGAGATATGTCAACATTCAACATTGACACTTTGCATTTACCCCACTGCCAACATACGACTGTTTAGTTATAGTAGGCATTAGTCGTAGACGATAACTTATCTGACTTTTAGAAGAGCTACGGGCTAAGAGTTACAACATGCCATTTTCCTTGCCAGCTTTTAGAAGATATTTATATGGATCTTCAACCCTCCTCTTTCTCCGTAATCCCCATCATATCCCTTCTTCTTCCTCCTCCTTAAAACCCTCCAATTTCCTCAAAACCCTCCCATTCAAATCCCTCACCGCCTCATTCTCCCTCGCAGAATCAGACTCCCCCAAATCTTTCCAACCCAACGGTCCAAATTTTCAATCTTTCCTCCAAGAATTAGCTGTAAGCATCCATTTCCCATTTCGAATTCGATCCTTTACGTCAAATTTTGAACCTTTAATAACTGGCGTTGCTTAATTTATATGTAATTTATTAAAGTGTGATTTTTTTTTTTAACTTTTTTTTTTTTTTGGGCCGTGCAGGACAGCTTTGATCTTCCACCGGACTACTTTGCGCAGCTTCCTAACGATCTCCGGCTCGATGTAAGTGGGGTTTTTTTTCAATCTGTGTGAATTACCCAGTTGTTGAATTCGATAAAGAATGTGGCTGTAGAATTTGAGCTGACAATTTTTGAAATTTTGTTTTTGGGTATGTGTGAAGCTGAATGATGCAGCATTTGATCTTTCAAATGGAAGGGTCATCGACGAGGTTAGTTATTTTTAAGCCTCTGCTTCTGCATTCTGATTTGAAATTTGATTACATTCTTAGTTTGATGAGTAGTAGTATGAACATGACTAGTGTTCCGTTTCCGAAATTTCACCCAAGTTTCAACTCTTTTTGGTAAGAATGGTGTATGTATCAATGATTTAAATGATTATTATAACGAAACGGGATGTGCAAGAATCACACATTATCCATGTCATGCCTCTCATGTATTCGGCCAAACGATTCAAAGTTTATAAGTAAGCTATCAAAATTACTGGCTAATTAAGTTACTGTCTTTGAATTTACTCTTTTTGCAGTGTGGTCAAGAGTTAGGAGAGACATTGTTAAATCTCTCTCGCGCATGGGAACAAGCCGATACATCAACTTCCCATGCTTTAGCTAGCAAGCTCCCTGGGTTGGAGGACTCTATGACAGGCAATGCCAAATCAGGCAAGAACAGAGTTATATGAAATTGATGCTTAAAATATCTTATCGGGAGTTTGATTCAAGAGCTTATATCTGTTATTATAGCATTTGGAAAGCGTTTGGTTTCTGCCGGAAGAAGATTTCAGTCTATGGGACAGTATGGCCAAGGTGAACTGCAAAAGGTATGTTTTGTTACTTGGACAAGAGATAGATATTGTGGCGGACTAAATAATCTTTCAAAAGAACAAAGATGGATAGACAGATAGAAAGATAGTTCGAGTAGTTTGTCTTTATTTGTTTGCTTAGACTGGTTTTATTGAGTTTTCGTTACTATTGTTCTCATGCTTCTTTACTCCAAATGTCAAAATTGTTCCATAAAGTTTGTTAATAGCATTTGGAACTATTTACTTCAAATCAAACTCATGAGCATTACTGTGTCGGACGAGATATGAAGTTTGAGTTATAAAAGGTTATACTAGTACTCTACCTGCTGCCAATTCTTTAAATTTCATTCCGAACCAGCTCAATTGTTTAACTCTTGTAATTTCAGGTTTTCTATCAACTAGGAGGTCGATTATCATGGGAGCGAGCTTAGCTTCTTTTGTTCTAATATCGGCGATGGCAGCAGTAGCAGTTTCTTCCATGTAAAACAATCAAATAGAATACAGGAAAAGGAGAATCAACTAAAGGTTGGAAGGTTCCTAAACGATCACAAATCTCACGTACCAACAAGATACTCCTATGCCAATATTACAAAGATGACAAATGGATTCAAGAACAAGTTAGGTGAAGGAGGTTTTGGAAGTGTTTACAGCGGAGAGCTTCCAACTAATGGAGTTCCAGTCGCCGTAAAAGTCCTCAGTGATTCGAAAGGAAATGGAGAAGATTGTGTTAACGCAGTGGTAACCATTGGCAGAATTCACCATGTCAATGTGGTTCGCCTACTCGGGTCTTCTGCCGAAGGAGGCAAGCGTGCGCTTATTTACGAGCTCATGCCAAACGGGTTCCTAGAGAACTTCATCACATTTAAAGATCAATCCAACAACGCTTCGTTTGATTGGCAGAAAGTTCACAACATCGTCAATGGTACAGCGAAGGGAATCGAGTATCTTCACCAAGGGTGCGACCACATGATCCTCCACTTTGATATCAAACCTCATAACATACTGTTAGACCATGGTTTCAATCCTAAGATCTCGGATTTTGGTCTTGCTAAACTCTGTTCCAAGGAAGATAGTTTCATATCTATGACAGCTGCTAGAGGCACCGTGGGCTACATTGCACCAGAAGTGTTCAGTGGGAACTTCGGGAGCATGTCCCACAAGTCAGATGTGTACAGTTTCGGTATGCTAGTGCTTGAAATTGTTGGATCCAGAAAACAACCTGCTCTTACATCTGGAACCAGTGAGGTCTACTTTCCGGAATGGGTTTACAAATCGTCTAGTTCCAGGAGAAGCGTTGGATTTGAAGCTATATACCGATGAGGACACTCAGATTGCTAAGAAACTGGTGACTGGCACTATGGTGCATCCAGTGGTACCCGAAGAATCGCCCTTCCATGAAAGCAGTTGTTCGAATGCTAGAAGGAGGCCTTGAAAGCTTGAGCATACCACGAAATCCATTTGCTTCCACAAGTACTCAGACAGATGAACCAAGAAACAGAGAGTCAAGTTAATATTTCAGTAATATTCAAATGCACATTTGTAAAAGTTGTATTAAATCAAGAGAAATGTCTTACATGCCATTTAGGTATCCATATAATCCACTAAAATTTGTGATGCAAGTGCTTTTCAATAAAGTTAGTAAATAATCATTTGAACAATGTTTTTGGTTAGAAATCCTGATTGAATATATTCCTAGGGTTTCATAGATTATTAGGCTGGATTTTTATTTATAATCCTTCAAAATACCAATTGATGCACCCCATTAATCTCCCAATTTGAGATTTACGCTCCCAACAATCCCCTCTCCCCCCTCCCCCCATAAAAAAAAATCTCATTTGCAGCGGCACACATGAACAACACATATCATTGATATTCCTGGTATAGTAGATGCTATCACACATACAATTATACTCAATTTGACGGAATTGTTTGATCTTAAAGGGGATCTTCTATAATTTCGCACGTGAGGGGCTATTTCTTTGACCATTCACTGACAATGATGATTGATAGGTGCAATTAGACCAAACGACATAGAGAAACAATAATTCATCAAATAAATGATTGAAAGTTAAAAAGTATTTGGAAGCACTTAGTACCAAATGCATCGGTTTCAACTTTCATGTTTTTTTTCTTCACTCTACTAAGGGCCGTTGGAAAAAAGAAAGCTTCCAAAACTACCAAATTTTTGTGGCAGAAACATAAGATGATGATACAATTGGCACGGATCAGTATCCGTTTATGAGTAATTTCTTCTTCTTCCAAGGATGATTATTTCTGGAATAGAGGCCGCGGTTCCGGTAGCACTATCATGTAACAGGGAAGATTCCTCGTCGACATCCGTCTCATCAGATGGATCCTCCATTGGCATTTGCTGGGGACAGAAAAAAGGTTTCGGCGGCATCTGCAAGGCTTCGACTTCACCTTCAAGCATCTCTACAACTTTGCTCATACAAGGGCGATCCGCTGGCTTCAGTTGAATGCACCACAATGCAACCATAAGCATCCTCTTGGTTACTTTCTTATCAGACTCGCAGGCATTCTCAATTTCAATGCTCAATCCTTTCTGTAGTTGCTCGTAAATCCATGAAGGGAAGTATATTTGGCTTGAGTTTTGTGCGTGTGCATTCAAGTTCTTCCTCCGTCCTGCCATTTCCAATAGCAACATTCCGAAGCTATACACATCAGCTTTCTTTGAAACTCCTCCGATAGATCTGTAGAACAATTCTGGAGCCATATATCCAAATGTGCCTCTCACAGCAGTAAGAGAAACGGTGTTGTTATCTCTAGGGTAAAATCTTGCAAGGCCAAAGTCGGAAATTTTAGCAGCAAAGTTTTCATCGAGAAGAATGTTGTGAGGTTTGATGTCAAAGTGCAAAATTTGCATATCGCATCCCTGGTGTAGATATTCAATTGCACGAGCCACACCGAGAGCTATCTCATGCATTACATCCCAACTAAGAATTACATTCTTTTCTTTCTCAGAAAAGATATATTTGTCAAGAGATCCATTAGGCATGAAGTCATAAACAAGAGCTCTTTTCGATCCCTCCGAACAAAATCCAATTAGTTGCACCACATTGACATGATGAATTCTTCCTATTGTGGCAACTTCACTGATGAAATCTTGCCCTTTGCCTTTGGTACCACTCAACATCTTTACTGCAACAAGATGACCGTCTTGCAGCAACCCTTTGAAAACAGAACCAAAGCCTCCTTGACCGAGTTTATCTTTGAGATTACGTGTCATCTTTTTAATATCTGAATAGGAATACCTCCTCGGCATAAGATTCTTGTACGCATACAAGAATTCTTCAACTGCATCATCATCTTCCTTTAGGAACTTTCTCCAATACAGTTTGCGGCCGCAGAAACCCAACAAAACAATAATGCCAAGTACCCATCGTGCTATCAGATTCCATCCTGCCATAGGAATAGGCCGTTAGTAGGTGTTCATCCTGCCATAACAATTTTACCTTTGAAAAAATTATGAGCTCACATGCGTGCACACATATATTCTTTAAAATGAATTACCAGTGATCTTGGCAGCTGCTATGAAACCTGTGTGAAACAAAATCAATGGAGAAATGATTTAGGATCAAGAAAAGGGAAGGATTAACTCGGAAATTCTAGTGACGTGACATATAGCGTTACAGCATAAGCTCAATATCACACTAATGCGAATTATAAGTAATCTAAATACCATTTGATATAACTTACCAGGATTCAAAGATTCAAGGAAACCTGCAAAGATACATCAGTGTCAATAAGAGATGTCACGAAAAATTCGGCATTCTAAAATCGTAAAGTTTACTAAACACATCACACATGCATAAAACTGATAATATTCCTAATGTATAAATGAATGACATTTCTCTGAAAGCTCCACTGAGACTACGTATCATTTGCCTTGCCATGATTTGTGAAACACACCGACTTAGTGCGTTAATTAAATTGATAAACAACATACTCACAATGGAAGGATTGGTATCGGCTGCCGCAGAGAAATCTCTCCCATGAAAGCTTAAATCCCCTTTGCAACTTATCGTGGATGGAAGATAAAGTGAAGTTCCCGATTTCTTCTAACAAGGCAAGAATGGTTGTGCCCATATCACAAGCCATACCCCCCTCTCTAGTAAAAAAAAAATCAACCTCAAAAGGTCCTTCTACAATATAAGAATATGAAGTCGCAGAAGAGGTATTGCAATTGTATTTTACGTAGTCCAGGGACTCAACTGGGAACTGGCAATCAAAGAAAACCAAGTAATCGTTGGCCCCATAACCATATGCCTGGTATCGATCTATTGCGCTGAAGTTACGCGTTGTTAAAGTGCGGAGTGGCCGAGGGGGGCAAGTATCGCTTAGCAGACCAGGATCCACAAGATGAATTGTATGATCATCATAGTTGATTTTCCTCACATAATATGTGCCATTGTAGAGATTTAGAATGGTGTTGTTATGTTGGCATGATAATACCGCTGGATGGTTGAGACAATTCTGATCAGACGAAGAACCATTCAACCGAAAAGGGTATCTAATGTTGTGGAGATCCCCGCAAGAAACAGGCGGACAGTGTTTTTTTCCCTTGGCATCACAAATTGCAAAGGAAATAGCAAAAGCTACAGCACATGTTAACCAGATACTTTTAACGAGCATTGTTGCGAAGCAAGCGCTTGAGATCATAGGAAAATCAAGGAGAAAGATGATGAAAGAAAGTTAACCATTACAACGGGGGGATTGTTTCTGCAAAGTCTTCTGGGATCTCAACTACCAGTCCATAAATGCATGCTCATCAGGTTACGAAGAAACTAGGATGCTTCCACCAATCCAATTGCCAAGAAAGTAACACCAGGATGATGACAATTGGAGCCAAAAGTCATTGATGATGGTGATGTGTGACCCACCAAGTCAAGTGATAAGGCAAAACAGTATTCCGAGCAGACATGGCTGCAGTCTCCGAAATATATTGCATCGACCGTTGATGAAATAAAGATCGGAGAGTTGGAGACTGGAGATGGATACTCTGCTTCTGCCACTATTTTTCTTGCTTATAATTGTCTTCCCAATGGCCATGATTGTACCCAGCAGAGCAGCTGATCCTCATGACTGCCCGGTTACAAGGTGTAGGCCTGATGGTCCAGTTATCCGGTTTCCATTCCGTCTAAAACACCATCCTCCTTACTGTGGCCATCCAGAGTTCGAAGTTTTCTGCTCACAAAATATGACCATGATTAAGCTCTTGCCGCTTTCGGGAACCTTTCCTATACAATCTATTGATTACCAAAAAGATCAGTTTCAGATCTACGATGCGGATGGTTGCCTCCCGAAACACCTTCTTAATTCTACCATCTCCACGTACTCACTCTTTCAACCAGTAAACAATTTTGTGTTTTACAACAGTTGCGGTTTTGATCTCGAATATTATCCAGACTTATTGAACGTAACACTTTTAAATTGTAGCACAGCACAAAGTTTTAGCACAGAGAGCTCCCATGTGTACTTCATGCCGATTAAATGTCTCAGCGTCCCGGGGAGTCATCAAGTTCTAGCTGCTCTACAGAGTACTACTGCAGATAAACTGCCGATGTCTACTTGCACTCTTTTGAGACAGCTTGATCTTCCAATACGATATGTGGACGGTTCTATGCACGACTGTGAACCGAGCAAGGTTTTATTCCTGCAATGGAAGAAGTCATATTATCTGCGATCTACCTCATTGTCTATCCCTATCCCAGCATGTCAAAACTGCAGTACCTATGAAGACTGCGATATCATTACCGACACAAATCAAATGCAGTGTTTTCCTTATGATAGCGTGGCAGCAGTCCCGAAAGGTACGTAGTTTCCCTGATCCATCCTTTTAAGGGCCTGTAACTGGTTTAGTACGCCATGCACTGGACTGAACTTGGACCGTGCTAACAGTCCAAGCTAATAGTCCAAGCGTTGCTCTTTGAAAAATTACAAAAACAAAATAACTATGTACTTTTAACTAAATTTGTTTTCTCCTACTTAACTTTAGGTGTATCAACTGGATCTATTATCATAGGAGTAAGCATAGCTTGTTTTGGTCTCCTATCGTTGACAGCGGCAGCCATCCTCTACCATGTAAAAAAATCAAAAGGGAGAGAGGAAAAGGAGAATGAAATCGAGATTGAGAGGTTCCTAAAAGATCACAAATCTCATGTACCAACAAGATACACACATGGTGATATAAAGAGGATGACAAACGGATTCAAGAAGAAGTTAGGCGAAGGAGGTTTCGGAAGTGTTTACAGTGGAGAGCTTCCAAATGGAGTTCCGGTTGCCATAAAAGTCCTCAATGA